CTCTTCCCTTCTCCCTCCTCCTCCTCCTCCTCCTCCTCCTCCTCCTCCTCCTCCTGCTCCTCCTCCTCTCCTCCTCCTCCTCTCCTCCCCACCTCCTCCGCTTCCTCCATCCTCCTCCTTCTCCTCCTCCTCCTCTCCTCCTCCTCCTCCTCCTCCTCCTCCTCCTCCTCCTATTCCCCCTCCTCCCTTCTCCATCCTCCATCCTCCCTTCTCCCTCCTCCCTCCTCCCTCCTCTTTCTCGGGCGATAGAGCTACCCAGTCTCATCTGCAATGCAAGTTCAACAGTGCACACTTCAAGCTGGAAGCTGAGAGACGTCAAGACAAATCAGCGCTGCAGCAACACAAGGGGCTGCAGAGGAGGAAGAGGAGGAGGGCAGAAAGGAGGAAGCAAAAACGGCTGGCGCAGACTTTGGGTGGACGCCCCCCCTGAATGGACGTAGCGCTAATCCAAACACCGTTGAGAAGCAGTGGAATGCATAATACCTGTGCTTATGTTTACTACGTGTGGCTAGAGCTCCATCGATATCATTGAACACTCTTTGGGGCATGCCATGGACTGCCTACGCAGAGCCCCCCCGCCTTGCTCTCCTAAGCACTGTCTTTGCCTCCGCCCCGCCCTTCCTGCAACACGACGTCGAAAATACAAAACGGCCCATGGCATCGCCAAAGACACCGTCCGCGCAGGTAAGGCCCTGCGGCGAACCCACGGATCCGGGCGCGGCAACTTTTGTCCACACCGAGGCGATTTTCGCCCCTGGCCTCGGGCCACGGGGCCGCGTCACAGCCTGGTCTGGCTCGACACCTGCCGCAGAAAGATTGAGCCTGTAGGGTCCCCGTCGTGATTCCGCGCGACGTGGGTGACCCTGGGAGGTCCACAGTCTTGCCGGAGTCCCCAATGGGGGGTCTGTAGTCTTGCCGGAGCCCCCGCGCAACCCACGCCTCTTGGCTGGCGAAAGAGACTCCGCGCGTCCCTCGATGAGCCCTGTCCTCCTCCTTCTCCTCTTCCTCCGCTTCCTCCTCCTCCTCCTCCTCCTTCTCCTCCTTCTCCTCCTCTTCCTCATCCACCTCCTCCTCCTGCTCCCCCTGCTCCCCCGCGGTGGCGGAGGAATAATCATTTGCCAATGAAAACGCTGGGTGTCCGCGGCACTCAATTGCGACAATAATTATCGGGCTGGGAGGAAGGAGTTGGGAAGATACAGGGCATGACTGTGTAATGAATACGTTCAACATACGCGGTAATACGCAGGATCTGATCGTTTCTCCCAAGCCCATCCTCCCAATCCGACGCTTATCTTTCTAACCAATCGGGCCCCGATGGAAACAGCTACTTACCCATGACTGGGGGGTATGAAAGACCCATCGCAGTCAGTGTTGATGCTTGTTCGCAGCGACGTATGTTAGTGGCGCCAGCCCCCCTGAGATCCGACGATTCAAACGACAATGCAACATCGCCAAAAGTCACGACTGGAGCCCCAGACACTTTACAAGCGCGTTCCATTACTCGCAAAGTAGCTACTCGCAAATTGCCTGGATGCGCCGCGGGGGATTTACGATCCAGTACGTCGAGTCTTCCATGTGGTTTCGGGCGTTTGGAGTAATGGAACGCGCTCGGTGAGACACCATCTTTCTGCTCTATTTTCCGAGCCGGATCGACCTATGAGGGTCCCGAGGAAGCGAAAACGCCCGTGGTGAAACAAGCCGCAGCGACGGGATCGCAGGGCCTAGCCTCTCAGATGGGGTCCCAGCATGTGGGGTCGGAGGACCGCTCCGCATCGCCGATGCATCGGCGATGCAGCTCGGTGCGGGCCCTCTTTTATCCATGCCTGCGTTGCCGATGCGCCGCCGACGTCGCCGATGCATCGGCCATGCCGCGCGACCCTCCGACCCCGTCTGCTCGGACCCCATTATGGGAGGCCTCTGACTGTACGCCCCCGCCGCAGGCGCACGTCCAGACCGAGCATTAGAGTGCAGATGTCTTGCAGAGAGCATCTCTTCCCAGACGGTGTGGCCTGAAAGCGCCCGACCTCCTCCTCCTCCTCCTCCTCCTCCTCCTCACTCCTCCTCCTCCTCGTCCTCCTCCTCCTCCTCCTCCTCCTCCTCCTCCTCCTCGATTGGACAGGACACGCGAGAGGACACAAGACACTTCCGAGGGCCACACTGCCACAGGAATGTGAGAGGCATGGGTCGCGAGAAACAGGACACAAGAGTACACGCTTGATTCGGCAGGGTCGACCTACTAATCTGGGCCGACTGTATCTGCAGCACCCCGCGGATGCAGGTAGGAGTGGGGGGGCAGGCGAGGGGTGGGTCGCGGGTGGGTCGGGAGTTGCCTCGCGGGGCGGGTCAAAGGCGGGGGTCGCGGGAGAAGTTCTCGGCGCGCGCGCGTCGCCCCGAGGGTGCAGGCGTACACATGCGAAGGGGCTCTGGGACACACAAACAAATACGCACAAATAACAGGATTCCCCATATTTCCGATATTTTCAAGTTTTTTGTCTTCCCACCCACGTCCCATGTTTTCCCATATGTTCTGGGGAATCGGCGATTGATTGTGTCTGTGTGTTGATTCCGTCCTGATAGTACTTGCATGTTTGGGTGACGCCGAAGACATGCTTGGCCGCCTCGGGGGCCCCATACCAGACCCTTGGGGCCGCGGCAAACGGACTCAAAAAGTCACGGGGAAAGGGCCAGGAAATTTGGAGAGTTTGTTTAAATCGCGGCGATCTCAGGCGTTATTGGGGAGGTGATGTGGGGGGCAGGGGAGGGGGTTGGGCAAAACGTGACGCCCCTCCCTGCCGTGTGGGCCTGGCACCACACATTGTTGTGCTGGACAGCTTGTGACAGTGCTGGGGACGCACTGGGGCGGGAGGGGGGATCGTTACGTCATGGGGGGGTGGAGGAGGCAGGAACGGAGGGGGTTCATTACACGCGTTGTGGCCCCCAGAGTTAGCACACCCTTCTGGGAACCCCGTCCTGAAAAAATCGGGACATCGCATGTCTGAGTCTGGACCTCCGAATACTTCTAGAAGCCCCTCGGCACAGGGCGCCCTCCAACGCAACCTGCTCAAACTGGCGCTCGCATCGGTCAATCCTTCGCTCGTCCGTTGGATCGTCCGCTCCTCCGCCCCTTCGCTCGCTCTTGTCGTCGGCCCGTCGCCATCGCTCGCTGCCTCTGGGCGATGAGGCTGGGCCGACCTCACGCCGCCCGACGGCTGGAACAGGCCGCGCCGCCGATCGACGCCCCCGATCGGCCCGCCCGAGCGTCTGGCCGACTGCACGCCTGCTGTCTCCCAGTCGGAGGCTGCTCTTAAGCATGTTCCCGGCCCGGAGGTGTGTAGCTCCGCAGTCTGGAGGCCCTGGGCCCTGTGGGCCTCGAGGGAGAAGGGGGCCTCTCGAGGCCGCGGGGGCCTCCCTGGACATGCTGGGGACACCCTGGGTCGGGGGACGCGTCTGGCAGCACCAGATCGAGCTTCGCGCGCCGCGCTGCGCGGGGCGCGTGGGCCGCGTTCGCCGCCCTGCGGGGGAAGAGCGCACCGTTCGCGAGGCCGACCGCGCATTGCGGGGGCGTGGGCCGCTTTCAATCGCCCTCCGCGGGTGGCGCAGGCATCGGACGCCGCGGCCCCCTCGCGCGTTCCCACGGAGCTCTCGACAACCTTCCCCGAGGACCGACGTGCCGTCGCGGTTCTGCTTTCCGCAGCCGCTCGCAAGAGTGGCCCCAGGCAACAGTGGCCTCTGGTGCGCGCCGAAAGATAGATAACCGAAAACGGCCGAGAATAAACCCCCAGGGAGGATAAAGTTCGGCGGCTACGGTGTGATAATAAAAGTTGCCCACCAGAGCCAGCATAAAGATGTTAACAGAGGAGCCAAAGCCGAGGATATCTTGAGACATCCTTGGCTTTTTTATCCTCTCTGAGACATCCTCAACAATGGCTTGTCTCGCTTGAGACATCGTCGACAAATCTCTCGTTTCGCTTGAGACATAGAGAGGTAACTAGAAAGATAGAAAGAGAAGAGGAGGTAGAGGAGGAAGAGGAGGAGGAGGAGGAGAAAGAGGAGAAATAGCAAGAGGAGAGGAGAAGGAGATAGCAAAAATCCAAAGTTCAAAACATATTATATTTAATGTGTAAACGCTGAATGGAATTTAAAATGTTCATCTGCTCGTGCAGGGTAGCTCATCTGCCTCGGTGTCCTTGGATAATAAAGCACAGCGATAAACAAGTTCAGGGGCCACGGGGAGGAGGAGAAAGAAAGAGAGAGAGAGAGAGATAGAAAGAAAGAAAGAAAGACAGAACTATATACAAAGAGACAGAAGAAAGTAGACAAACATATTGAACGAGGGGTAAGAGAGAAGGAAGAGAGAGGAGGGGGAGGAGGAGGAGGAGAAGAGGATAAGGAGAAGAGAACGACATGATTCCTAAAGCATTGCTTGTTTCGCTTGATGGCGAACTTTTCCCAATGATAATGAAGTTCGGCCTCCGCGCCCCCGCGCCCCCGACCAAACTCTTGTTGGCCGTGGATAATCAACTCTTATGTGTATAGGGGGGGTACATTATTATCGTGGGTATGGGGTTAGTTTTATCGATTGGCAAATATATGCTAGCCAAGGGGGGGAGGGAGGGGCGAACAGTGAGTTCTTACAATATATGCGGTGCAGTCGAAGCAGGCCAGTCAATGTGGTGAAATCTAGGTGGTGCAATCCATGTGGTGCAATCGACACGGTCCACGGCAGTGCGAACTACTGCAAAGCAATGCACTGCAACGCCAAGCAATGCAAAGCAACGCGATGCAATGCACAGCAGTGCAACGCAGTGCAATGCGATTGCAGACCAATTCAAATCAAATCAAAACAATGAAACCCAACGCTAAATAATGCAAAACAATGCGCAGCAATGCAACGCAATGCCACGCAAGACAACGCAATGCAAC